TTTCTGCCTCTCACTAGTTTTGGCTGCCTAGAGCACCAGCGATGCCTTAGCAAAATGTGCAGTTGATTAAAAATCATACTAGTAGGTACAGTTGCACTATAGACAGTGGGACCTAGTGGGAGAGACTAGGTACGCCTGGAGCCTTTCTTGGGGTGGTATGAGCCAAACTAGAATCCCCAGATGAAGATAGTGACAGAACTTCATATCGTAATCGTAGTTTATGGTTACTAGAACTGCATTGCTCTAGACAAGAGATAATGCAAATTGTCTTCAGTTTAGGTGAGGAATTTGGAAGAAGAATCATTTTTCCCTATTTAATCCTTAGCTTCTGTCACCACTCTTGGCTGTCTTTATTTGATCATAATCTTGTATCTAACTCTTACTTTAAACTAGTTACTGAAACGTTGTGTTTGGATCAAGTGGGATCTCTAGGGAGAAGGTAGGCAGATACTTAAGGCTCTGAACTTTTCATATATATTCAGGATGCATAAGGATACCAAAAACACATGGCTTAGAAAGTGGATACTACTTGATTTTGCCAAACTGTGGTGAAATGTTTAGCATATTTTTGACAGTATGTCTTTTCTAGTTGGCTTTGAATTGACAGCCGACCAGATAGCGACTTTATGTCAGTCTCTGAAAAGGATTTCAAACTTTAGAAACCAGTTTGTGTGATTAATAGGTAAAATATAAAATGCCGATAATCAGAAATAAGAGGAGGCATCATTCCGAGCCTGCAGACATTAAAAAGATAGAAAGGGAATATTATGAACAACCTTATGTCTGTGAATTTGACAATTTAGATGAAATGAGCAGATATTGTGTAAGGATTCTGTACCCATTCAGATCTGTTTGTGTATATGGGGGGAGTGGGTTCCCAAACCAAGCCGTTCTCCCAACACCAGCTGGGTATCCTGCAATTCAGCTCAGTTCTGACACTGTCTGCCTGGAGATAACACCATAGCATCAGATCCCACAGATTAAGGGCTCAGTCCTATAAGACTGCCCCCTCACCCTTTAGCCACCAATTGCGAATCCAGGTTTGTTGCCTGACCCACCAGCTGTAGGCGGCTGTAGATCGGAGGTTCCAACCACCCCCTCCTTGGGTTCAGTTAATTTGGTAGAGTGACTCACAGAACTCAGAGAAACATATTACTGACTAGATCACTGGTTTATTACAAAAGAATATAACTCAGGAACAGCCAGATGGGAGAGACACATGGGGCAAGGTACTGGGAAAGGTGTAGAGCTTCCATGCCCTCTCCAGGCACACCACTCTCCCCAAATCCTCTCGGGTTCAGGAACCTGGAAGCTTTTGAACCCCATCCTTTTGGATTTTTATGGAGGCTCCATTACATGTGCATAATTGATTGCATGATTAGCCATTGCAAATGATTTGAGCTCCAGCCCCTTTCTCCTCCTCTGAGGTCAGAGGGGTGGGATTGAAAGCCAACTCTAATCACAGGTTTGGTTCTCTTGGCAACCAGCCCCTATCCTTAGGTGCCGTCCAAAAGTCACCTCATTAACACAACAAAAGACACCTTTGTTACTTTTACCACTTAGGAAATTCCAAGGGTTTTAGGAGCTCTGTGCTGGGAATGGGGATGAAGACCAAATATGTATTTCTTACTATAAATCACAATATTACACCTTGAGAGATACAAAACTGCCACAGGAGAAATAAAAAAAAAAATCTGACTAGTGCCATATAGGTTAAAGAAATTGAATTTGTAGTTAAAAACCTTCCCACAAAGAAGACTCCAGAACCTGATGGCTGCATTGACATATTCTATAACGTGTTTGAGGAAGAAATCATACCAATTCTATACAAACTCAAAAGACGAGGTGGAGGGAACATTTCCCATCGCCTTTTTATGAGGCCAGTATGAGCCTGGTAATTACCAAACAAGAACATTATAAGGAAAGGAATTCAGACCAATAACCCTCATGGTTGTAGATACAAAAATTCTTAACAAAATGTTAGCAAGTTAAATCTATCAATGTATGAAGAGGATAATAATGTCATGATTAACTTGAAGTTATCCCAAAAGTGAAAGATTGTCATTTTAACATATTAATAATTCACATATTTAACAGTTTAACAAGATACAATAAAGGAGAAAATTCATATGATCATCCACTCAGTAGATGCAGAAAAAAAGCATTTGACAAAATTTAACACTCATTCATCATAAAATCTCTCTGAAAACTGGGAATATAAAGAAATTTATCCAATCATACTTGGAGAAATATTGAATACTGCTAAGGTCAGGAACAGGGTGATGATGTCCGCTCTCAATACTTCTATTCAACAATATTATGGAGTCTCTACTTAATGTAATAAATCATGAAAAAGAAATAAAAGGAAGGAAGGAAAAAGGGAAGGAAGAAGTAAAACTTTATTTGCAGACAGTGTGTGCACATAGACACTGTAAGGGATCTACTAAAAACACTTTTTAGAACTAGCAGATTTTTCATAAGATACAAGGATACAAGGCTACTGTACAAAAATCAGTGTATTTCTTTACTATTCTTTTTTTTTTTTAAGATTTTATTTATTTATTTGACAGAGAGAGACACAGAGAGAGAGGGAACACAAGCAGGGGGAGTGGGAGAGGGAGAAGCAGGCTC